TGGTTCCTTCTGGCTTCAGTGTGAGAAGCCCATCGTGAGCCCAGTGTTCCACCCTTACCCATCCCAGTGATGTCTAGGACGGGAGATCCCTTTCCCAAACAGCTGGTTTCCCTGTCTGCAGATGATCTGAAAAGGTCACTGCTTCTTTCTACAAAGCCTACTTCAGACCAAGCGGCTGAAACTGGAGGAAAAAAAAATAACCCAAGAAGATTTCAGAAAGCTTTTATGCCCTGTGGCTTCCTGCCTGTCATTCAGATGTTAGCTAAGGTCTGCAAGGAAGAAATAACTGCTTTCAAATATACTGGGTAACTATGGAAATAAATTAAGCCACTGGCACTGGCTTGATCAAAAGCAGACCACCCAGACAACGACAGGCTCAGAAGGAAGTGAAGGGAGGCGGCTCCCAGTGATGTGGTGACTGCTCCCAGGCCGTTTGCTGGCTTTGAAGGAGCACTTGGTTCCAAAGATGCAACTACTATTTAAAGTGGGAACCGAAGAAGTCAAGACATAGCAACTACGTCCTGGACTGGGGGTGTAGCTTAGCATCTGAACTTTAACCTTTTCACTAAAAAGGAGAGGGGAGGAGAGAGGGGCAGACAGAGCCCACTGTTGCCTGATTTATGAGAGAGGAAGGTACCAGTGTTTTCATGTTGTCTTTCTAGAGCATTCCTTTTATACACATACACGCCTTTTGTTGATTTTATTTTTCTTTTCTTTACATACTAATCCCAGCGCCCCCTCCATCCCCTCCCCCTGCTCTCCACACCTTCCCCTCATCTGCTCCTCAGAGAGGGTAAGGACTCTGATGGGAGTCAATGAGTTCTGTATTGTCACCACCCTGAGGCAGGACCAGGGATCTCCCCTCCCTCATGTCTAGGCTGAGCAAGGTATCTCTCCATAGGAAAGGGGATCCAGAAAAGCCAGCTCATGCATTAGGCATCGCTCTTGGTCTCACTGCCAGTGCCCCCCAAACTTCCCAAGCCTCCCACTGTCATCTGCATTGGGGGGCCTGGTTCAGAGTCCCACGCAGATTCCCCAGCTGTCAGTCCAGAGTCGGTGAGCTCCCACTAGCTCAGGTCAGCTGTCTCTGTGGGTTTGCCCCATTATGGTCTCGACCCCTTTGCCACACATGATTTTTATGTATTTTTATGTACATAAAAATCAATTATTAGTTCAAATGATGACGGGGTCACTAGTAGGATCCTGCTGTCTCCTTTGAGATACAGTTACCATTATGGAATGAACAGTTCAACTAGAATTACAAAACAAATCCCATGAGCCTCCATTTAGGGAAATGTGCCAAACCCCCGAGACATTAGAACTTGTTACTGGATACGTGAAAAGTAAGTACATATTCCAAAAGTCAAGTGTCCTTCCTTCTCTGACCTGTCACACAGTGGCTGCAAGTACACAATAGCCCAAGTATAAATAAAACAAGAAAAGTGTGCAGCCAAGGCTTGCCCAAAATGGTCATGTTGTGTTCTCAAAATCCAGTATGAAATAGTATCCCAATATTTCAAACAACAGACAAACAGCCTATCATGTGTGTTACCACAGGAAAGCCACTATGCTGACACCACCTTGGTCGCAAATACCAAAATGGGAGTGGATACTGTGTGATGCAGAGTGTCTGGACTCACAGTGGGCTCCTCTTAACTGAACACTTAAGATTAAAAAGTATGCCTTTACCCATTCATCTTGGCCCAGAAAGGGCCCAAGGAGATGGTGAGAGTAACAATTTTAGACAAACTGTATCATATGGAGCCAGAAAGAACTGGAGGGGCAGGAAGCCAGCTTAGAGACAAGTGTGTCTGCTCTGTCACACTGCAGTTGTGTGGTATTAGTTTTTCCTGTGCCATAAGCTCACTTTACCTCTAAAATTCTAGGACTGGAACAGAGGCCCGGTAAAGCCAGCAAGGTGTTTTTATGGCTTTGTAACCAGGAATGTAGGCACCATGCACTGCCATTTAGGCATTGGTGTTTACAACACAGAATGTGAGTTATACATAACTCTTCAATCAGAAACATGTCTGTCAATTTTAAAACGCTGTTTTAAACACATTTGTTTACAACACTGAAAATGTGAGTCATACCTCTTGTTGGTAAGTGGAAGCGGGATTGGAACAAATTACATCAAGACTGTTTGCAGTGCCTCCCAGGGCGACTGGGAGAGCTATGCCGACGAACTTGCCCTTCTATGTTAGTTGCCATCTGAACAATGGCCCGGAACAGAGCCATTTTGAAGGGATAACAGAGTTCACCTGATTGCTCTGTATCAGTCAATATAAAAATGTTTGCATTTCTGCGTTCCCAGGCAGCACCAGAATAAAAAACAAAACAAAACAAAAAAATGTGTTTCAAAGTAATGAATAGCCAGGACAAACAGTTTGGGGTTTGCTCTATCTCATTTCCAAAATGGACTGCTCACCATAAGATTAGGCTACAATTCACACACTCAAAGCAAAATTGGGATTTCTTGGAAGACAGCCTGAGACACAAATCTAAGTAGCTTCAACCTTAAAGCTTTAGGGCAGTGGTTCTCAACCTTCCTAATGCCTCAACCCTTTAATACAGTCCCTCGTGTTGTGGTGACCCCCCAACTATAAAATTATTTTGCTGCTACTTCATAACTATAACATTGCTACTGTTATGAACTGTAATGTAAATATCTGGGTTTTTGATCCACTGTGAAAGAGTTGCTTGACCCTGGGGTCACGACCCATAGGTCAAGAACTTCAGCTTTAGGGGATGTTTAAGAGGGGAGAGTCTCACTGGCTTAAACAAGCTGCTTCTCAAAGACATAAGTAAAACATTAAAAACAATATTAGGATTTTGAAAGCGGTTTGTTCGTGACTCCCACTTGCAAGATTGGAATATTCGCCTCACTTCAGCAAGTTGGCTAAGCATTACCCAGTGCCTAGTCATGTTCCCACCTAAGTGATTGGCAGGGCATCATTACCATAATGTCCTCAATTTTCCCATGTAGCATTCGAGCTGTTTGCTCTGTCAGAACACAAAACCCTGAGCCGTTTTTCTGTAATTATACCAGATGCATTTAAAGAAGTGCTCTTAGTCTTGAAAAAGAAAAGAAACAAGCCTGCGCGTGACTCCCGAGCTTTGTTTGGTTTTGTCCTGGAGAACAGAGGAGGGGCAGAGTGTCACCTCCATAACGGGGCTTCTCGGTGGTGCTCACTCAATCATGCCCGGGTTCAATGGCTTAGCACACTGTGTATGGAAGCCATGCAGTATTGCTTGGAGGACAGGAGGGCTTGCTGGAGCCTGGGTGGTTAACACAGGCTTGGTGGTGGTAGTACCCAGTCCACAATAACACCCTGCAACAGGAATCGAGCTCTCTGTCTCTCCCTGTGAGTTCCTCAGCCAGAAGCTGGTGCTGAGGGACAGCAAGAGCTGTCATACCTTCTCTGATCCTCTGAGGTCACCTCAGGCCTTCTCAGCTCACAAACCTTGAAATCAGGATAAGCACAGGGCTCTGCTCTTATTGGGGCTTTCCTTAGTTCTCCGATATAGTTGCTATCTTCAATGCTGCGTAACATTTGAACACAGGGCCCACATTTTCACTTTACACCGTACCCCACAAACTATCTGAACACTTGCTCCTTGCTGCTTGGCTCACAAATTCTTCATTGTGTGGCTCTGGGATCTGAAATAACTCACTGCTCCCAGAGTTACTGCCTGTGTCTCTGGTCTAGCACTTGAGACCTGGTAGCTGCACCTAGGGACCCCTTCCTAACCTCTGCCCTGCCCCTCCTTCTTAGGACCTCACTCTCCTCCAAGCTCCTGTCCTTGCCTTTTCTAGTCTGTGTTACAGCTATGGGCCTGAAATGATGGTCACTCCCCTCTCCATCACTGTAAAAAACAAGACAGAAATCTTGCATTTCCAGCTGAGGCTAGACTACAATTTGTTATGTAGCCTAGACTGGCCTTTGTCTCAAGGCAGTCCTCCTAGATCGGTCTCCCAAATAATGGAATTACAACCTAACTCCACTAGCTCTCCCTCCTCACAGCTGACATCTTCAGGATGCCAGTATCCTGGGTTCCGAGTCTCCAAGAGAGAACCAGGCCACCTTGGCCGGAGAAGGACACTTGCTGGATGGCTGCCAACAATGCATTCCAAACAATTCTTACCTTCTAGGTTAACTCAAAACCAACTTCAGTGGCTTGGGTTCTCTTCCCTTACAGTATGATTGATAAAATGGAGTGACCGACAGCAGGGAGAGAACCTATCCCAGAATTTCCACGTCAGCTCAGGTTTAACCCATGAGGCAGGCCGTTGGTCTCTCCCACACGTCATCTGAACAGGGTTAGATCTTTCATCATGGTAGTCCTAAAATAATGCACCCTGGCTTTCAGCTTTCTTTTCTGTTTGTTGTGTGTTTGTTTTTGCTTTCCGTTGTTGTTTTGTTTTGAGGTAGGGGTCACATGTAGCTCGGGCTGGCCTTAAACATGCTATGTAGCCAAGGATGACCTAGGACTTACTTTTCTCCTGCCTCCCCCTCCTGAATGCTGGGATGACCATCACGGGTTACCATGCAGTACTGAAGGTTGAACCTCGGGTTCCATGTATACCAGGCTAGCACTCTACCTGCTGAGCTACAGCCCCAGCCCTAACCTTAGTTTTTTCTAATCAGTCTCAGAGGTGGGGAGCCATGTGACCATGATGGCTATGATCACTGAAGAGCCTCTGCTACCCACGAGCATCTGTGAAGATGTGAACTCAGCACTTAGAAGAGCCCATGCTTTCTTCCTTCTGTCACGTTTCCTATATTAGTACCTTTAAGGCAACAGAAGGAGGATAGGTAAGTAAATATGGAGCTCTGCTTACTGAAGATGAAGACACCAGGCTCAGGTGTTTGGTTTCTCTGACCCACCATCCACCAATTCTCCACATTCTGACAGATGAGCAAGCAGCAGGCTGCAGGGAGGTGAAGTAGAAGCGGGTACCCTCACAGGCTTCACCCCGAGGTACACGTGTGGCTTACCTGTTGGTCAGCAGTCCGATGAATGGGTTGGTAAGGAGCTGGACAGTGGCTTTGGAGGCAAACAGCAGCCCAACTTGCACGTTTTCATTCAGGAGGTCTTTGTCTTTGCTTGGACAGTCCGAAGGGACAGTGGAGGTGTTGGTCACTATGTGCTGTGTGGTGGCCTTGTATGGCTGCTCCCCTGGGAAGCCCCTGGAGGCATTTCTGGTGACATTTCCAGTGATGGGAATGGTAGCGTTGTCATAGTAAGAGAATATGCCCTGGAAGCTTCCTGAGGTGGAGGCTGTGAGTGCTGCCTTGGTGGTCTGGATTTCTGTAGTATTTTTCTCATGCTCGATGCTGTACAGGTAACTGGGTATGATGGGAACTAGGGACCATGACGGGGAGAGAATTAATTATCACATCAGAACCTTTTCTGAGACAAAGGCCATAAGAATTAATGTCCTATGAAAAGACAAATGAAACCCAGAAAAGTGGACCATGTGCCCCAGAAGAGGGAACCATGTTCAGACGACATGCATGGAACAGTTTCATATTGCTTAGTCTGAGAGATTAGATAGATAGATAGATGGATAGATAGATAGATACATACATAGATAGATGGATGGATGATAGATAGCAAATCTGAGGGTTCCAACATGCCCACGGGGTGGCAGCTGCATCCGTATGCCTGGCCACAGAGATGTCTATAGTTTGTAGGGGTTTCTCATTACAGAATTCCTTCAAAGGAATATGCTGAACAGGCAAAACCCTGTCCAAAGAAAGTCAGTGCTAACCTGGGGTCAGAGAGCTTCCACAGACTTCAAAACAGATGAAGCAAGGAAATGGACATCTAAATTCATTATGCACTGTGGGGGTGGGGGAAAAACCAGCCCTTGCAGGCGTGATATACTGGACATTCTCAACAGATCAACTGCGCCGCTGGAGCAGTTGCAGGTTTCCAAGGCCTTCACTGAGAATCCCTTAGGCTTCTATTGTCAAAAAAGCAAAAGTGCTTAACATGCTACAAGCTCTGGGCACACCAGAAACATGGGCCACTGAAGACAGAGGCCAGCTGAGCCCCTGGCTCCCTATGAATCCCACAGTGGACTCTCCTGAGCTGGAAACAACAGAGCCTCTCAGACTCTGCAAGCGGTGGTGGGGAGTGGGGAGGAAATGACTCACCACCTGAGAGTCTGAATGAAAACCAAATTTTTCTGTTTCGTTGAAACTAGGTTTTCAAAAAGAGCATTAGGTCTTTCACCACTCTAACCCTAAAGTAAAACACCTTGACTTTCAGCTTTTTTTTCTTGTTTGTTGTGTATTTGGGGTTTTTTTATTTTCTTTTTTGTTTTAAGATAGGGTCACATGTAGCCCAGGCTGGCCTTAGTCTGTTTGAGGAACTAAGAGGCCTTGGTTTTGAACCATTTGGTCTGAACCTGTCATTTTAGGAGAAAGTATCTGACCAGCACCTTCCCAGCCACACTCTCACCGAGTCCTGCCTCCACCACAAGGAACCCTCAGATAAAATACACTTAAATGTCACTTGCTTTTCTTCAGAGCTAGATGGCGACCTGCTCATTCAGTCGTCCACCAACTATTAACCCACCTTTCAGTAGCCTAGCAATTGTCCTAAGAGGGCGGCAGGCAACTCTGCATTGCTCCACTTTGACAGAAATCTTCTTCATCGCAGTGAAAGTGGGCAAAGGGAAGCAGGCAATTATCAG